GGTGCAGGTATGACTTCTTTAGCTGATGAGGGTCCAAAGACTGCTCTTGGAGGGGCAATCTCTGGAGAAAATATTCTCCCGCTCCTGGTGATTTTGCTGGTGCCCGCAATGTTACTAATGCTGGCTTCTTCATCATCCGAATTTTCTTCAATTACTTCGACTTGCTTGATACCATGGTAGTAGATGTCACCACCATAGTTCCAAGGTATCGACTTCTCAGAAACATAGGGAACAGGCCCTGGCATCGTTATCTTTAAAGGAACAGATTTTGCAGCTGGTGTAATCTTAACTGGTCTTTTGACGGCCTTGGAAAGATTGGCGTGAATGGTTATGATTGAGACATTTTCAACATGAACTGGAACAGCAAAAACTTTTTCGAACAAAATTTGTCGGTTATCCATAAGGCCTTGGATGCCTTTCTTTAATAGAGGACAATCAAACGGCAGAGAGTGGCAACAGTAGCAGTCTTCTTTACATCCCGGGAAGATCCCGGCCTTTAACAAATTCAACTTAATGGTTAGCAGTGGAGTAGTCAGATCACTGACGTCGGCAACATACAAATCCTCTTCGATGGCATTGACATTTCGGTCGTGCTTCGGCATAGGTGCAGATATCACATTAGGCTTCTCTGGAGCGTCAAACTCCACCTCCTTAGCCTCTATCAGGTCTTGGATTTTATGCTTGAGTGCCCAACAATCATTGGTGTCGTGTCCAACACTGTCTGAATGATAGGCGCATTTAGCATTGGCATGATAATGCGGGGAGGACGTATTCACATTCTTTGGCGCCTCCTTGATGGTGGCAAGATTCAACTTCAATAGATGGGGAAGCACTTGCGCTGGAGTCATATTAATACGGGTGAATTTCCGTTGTGGCCTTTCCACCCGTTGCTGATTTGGTCTGGACTGGTTATAGCGAGGCTGCTCACTCGGAGTGTTTTGAATCATTACGGCCCCCACAGTTGGCCGACGCTCCATCTTCCCTGCTCTTCCCTGAGAATATACCATAGTTGTCTCCTTCTTAAAAGGCTTCTTCTCAACACTTGCAGCAATACCCTTCTGAATCTTTCCTGACTTGATGCCAGCTTCTATTCTTTCGCCGGTTAAGATCAAATCGGTAAACCCTGCGGAAGAGTTACCAATTAGATGATTGAAAAATGGCCCAGATAGGGTCCCAAGAAACATATCAACAAGCTCACGATCGGTTAAAGGAGGCTGCACCCTGCCAGCCCAATCCCTCCATTTTTGTGCATATTCTTTGAATCCCTCACTTGTTCCTAGTGACATACCCTGAAGTTGGGTATGAGTAGGAGCAAGATCAGAATTATACTGGTATTGTTTGTAGAAAGCGGTGGCCAAATCTTCCCAATTTCTGACACTGGTTCCTTCTAGCTGATAAAACCACTCCAACTGGGCTCCCGATAGGCTGTCTTGAAAGAAATGAATCCAGAGATTTTTATCTGCCGTATAGGGTTGAATTTTTCTCACGTAGGACCTGAGGTGCATTTTGGGACAGGACAGCCCATCATACCTCACAAACACTGGCACTTTGAATTTTGGGGGAATCACTATTCCGGCGACCAAGCCCATGTCTTCAAAATCCAAACCCGGTACCCTTTGCAATTCCATGGCAGCCAATCTATCTTCTAAACCCTTGTACTTATCATCAGCTGGAGGGTATTGCTGGTCGGAATAATCTTCATCCTCTTCAACCTCTTCCTCCTCTGCATCAGACTCGGAAGGCACCGCAACTCGATCTCTTTTACTAGTCCCTTCATCAGAAGTAGGAGGAAATTCAAGCACTCTCCGAGCTTCTCTGTCAAATCTTCTCCCCAAAGTAGCCACTCCGACCCTCTTTTTCTTCTTCACTGGGTCCTTACTTTCCAGATGAGCCTTGATATCCTCTTGACTTTTAACCAAAGTCATCAAGAGTTGCTGGAACTGTGCATTCTGGGCTTGTAGGTCTTTGACTGTTTGCTCGAGATCCATCCTACTGAAATAAACAGCAGATAGATAAGGAAACCTGGAGTGAGACCTGCTTATGCACATGATGAATGGTATGCTGATGTATGCAATGCATTCAAGGATTTAGGACATTCAAAATTGTTTCCGACAAAGAAGAACGCACGTCATATTAATAAGAAGAAATTTGTTAGTACATAAATGCCCCATGGGCCAAATGTTACAAAATAAACTTCTTAAGGCAGAAAGACATTGCGCATCCTCTTCGGTGCGATGTAGGTGTTGAGGGCCTCTTGCTCGTGGAGTCGGCGGGTAAGCTCTAGAACCTTCTTTTCACTGGCGTAGTAGCTAGCTTCAAAAGTGTTTCGTTCCTCCTTGAGCTGAATCCAACTTTTCTGCATTTCCTCCCATGATGTAGGCATGTCTGGATGTAGGATAGTGTAGGGAACCTCTCCTTCATTGACGGGCTCTTTAATCATAGGGAGAACATGAGGATAAGGCATCATTAGACTTTGGGCTCGGGCTCGTACCCACTTGAGATAAGGCTCAAGAGGGATGGAGTTCTTGTGTCCCAGAGTCTTGCTATCAACCTTGTTGAGTTTTCCCCAAGCTCTGATGAATCTTTGGCGAAGTCCTTGCGCATCGTTGTCGAAGTCAAAACTAGGCTAGGAATCAACATGTCATGAGGGCCATCCCTCCGTGCATATCCAAATTGCCTCAAAGCTAGGCAAGGGTTGTAGGTGATACCTCCCCTAATTCCAAGTAAAGGAACATTAGGAAACTCTCCGCAACGATCGACGATGATGACATTTTCTCTGGACCAAGAACACCAATGCACATCAGAATGAGTAAGAGTCATCAATCGTTGGGACCACCTTGTACCTTGGTCATACTTCAAGACAGATTGTGGAAGGTGCGAAATAAACCACCTTGCGAGGATAGGAGTACAGCACATGAGAACACCCCTCTTTCTCATTGTTCGTTTGTAAAATGAGTGAAGGATGTCCCCAAGCAATGTTGGTATTGGATTTCTGGACAAGAAGATTTTGACGGTGTTGACATCTACCAATTGGTCAGGATTTGGGAACAAGACCAACCCGTAGATAAGGAGTGCCACAATCTCTTCAAAGGCTTGTAGGTCCAATGAGTTCCAACATTCTTGTGCCTTCTCAAACAAGAATTTTGCTAGGAATCCCTTGACACCGCTTCTGGTTTCCCAATGCCCCTTGATATCGGATGGTTGTAGATGTAATGCTCGAGCAACATCTTCCGGCTTTGGTTCCTTTTCCATACCGTTGAAGGGTAGTTGATTAAGGATAGGAATTCTTAGCATGCAATATTCATAGCTTCATCCCAAAAATGCAATGGTAACTGCTTAGCATGAAGCATGACTCTAGCTGATTCTTGTTTAGCCCTAGTTTTTTTGCTCAACAATTCCATATTGCTTAGAAGAGATGGAAAAAGAAAATTCATGATTGAAATCCCCAGAAACAAAAAATTCATAGAATTTTGCATTTTCAAACTCCTTGTCATGGTCACTTCTAACCTTGACAATCACATCATTCTGCTCCTTTTGAATACTTTGACACATATCTTTGGAATCTTCAAAGGTGTCTGATTTTTCTCTAAGAAAGTTTACCTATGCAAACCCTGAAAAATCATTTATAACCACATATTCATATCTCTTTCCACCCAAGCTTTTGTGTAACCGGCAAAAAATAGAGAGTCGACACCATTAATTTTTGTCTTGAGGACGGGAAAGTAACGGATAACCCTAATGGTTTCAGAGATTTTAAATTCGTAATTAGACGAAGGGAAGGTGTTAGGCACCCTTCATCTCCCTTGTTCTCAAGGGGCCCTATTTTTAGGTCGTAGGTTAAAATGGAAATTTCTATCTAAAGGTATGTAATCGCAACTTTAGAAAGGTTTTTAGTTTTTTAGTTAGGGGACTCGCTTTGGTTTTAACCGTGTGCCTACGTATCTCCTTGTAAAGAATTAGAGTCTAATTTCATAGTTTGTAGTGTTTGGTGTTTTTTATAGGATTGCTTAGAATTGCTTCTGAATTATCCTTGAATCTTGCCTGAGTTTTGTAAAAGAGTGATTATAGACGTAATTCGCAGTTAATTTTAAAAGTAATCCTATTTAATTTATTTTTTAAAATTTTCTTGAGGTTTTTGTTAAGTTAGTAGAAAAATATTTTTTGTTGTTGATTAACGGTTTTAAGTTTCATTGGTCGATAAAGAGTTGATCTTTATTAAAATTTGATCGCGCTAGAAGAAGAAATTGACCATAATTTGATTATCGCGTTGAGTGATAGCGTTTGATTATTATGTTGAGCAAAACCAAATTCGCGTGAAATTTAATATTTTGATGTTGAACAATTAATTGATAAACGTTGAGCCAACCAAAAAATATGGTGGATGTGTATCCACCAATCCTGTTATTTGTAATATGTTGAAAGTTTAATTATGTAGTGGTTTGATTAGAAAAAACTGGATAAAACTAAATTAATTCTATAAATAAATTAATAGAATTAAACTAAATAACTAAAATAAAATTAGACTAAAAAAATAGAAAACTAAATTAAATAATTGAATTAGAAATAACTAAAAAAAACTAACAACCAAGGGGTGTAAAGCCAATTGAGGTGGTGGATTGTTATCAAGAAAGTAGGAAAGCCCAAGCCCAAATAGATCCTAAATTAACCCTAATTTTTATTCTAATTTAATTAAAATATAAATGAATAAATATATTAAAGAACGATAACACAGGGGCGGCGGTACTACACCCACTAACATTTCTTTCTCTTATTATGAAATATAGAGAACTAAATAGTTTGACTTGCTAAAGTAATATCAACCAATATAAACTTGACACGTCTCAAGAGTAAGACAAAACAAAAAACCAAAAAAACAATATGATATATTGATAAAGGTGAATACAATGGACATTTGAATCTGTATTTTTCTTTCTCGTTCAATTTCCCTAATAAACACAAAGAGCTTCTTCATCTATTCCTCAAACAACACCCAATCAAAATCACAAACACAAACCATATAAGATTAAATGATGCAAGACAAACATGGAAAGTAAGGTGACGTTGGGATTCATTCTGCTCGGCGGTTGGAAGAGACGTGGGAAGTGTGGCCTGAAGCTGGGGTTCACGGCGGCGTTGTGGGTCGTCCGTGTACGGTTTATGGAATCAGGATGGCCAAGATCCGAGTTGTGGAGGTTGGTCTCTAGGAAATAGAGGTAACATCTCAAGGTATGAAAAACATAAGAAATGAAAAACATAAGAAAGGGGATTTGAATTAAATTTTAAATTAGAATTTATCTTTTAAAAATATTCCTTTTTAATTAAAATATTTTTTCTTTCACACTTGATAATAACACTAATTAAGAACAAGAAGTAAAGAACAAGGTATATTTATATTAGTTCACTTGAAAACTATCAAGCTAGTATAGTCTACCCATCAAGGTGATTTCGTCTCTCTCAATCGAAGACTTAGTCCAATAATCCAATTGATTATTACAATGCACAAACTACCCGCAAATGACTAACAATCTCTAAGACACACAAGTCCTAGACTTCTTAAGGATACAAACCTAACTGATCCCTTAAGAAAAATCAAACTTCTTAGACACTAAGACACACTAGTCCTAGACTTCTTAAGGATACAAACCTAACCGGTCCCTTAAGGAAATCAAACAATTGTTTGAATACAAGTTTTGTTTACAATAATATTGCTTCTTCACAAGATGAATATGTAAACTATTTGAAGAACAATAGACTAAAAATATGAAAGTTATGAACATCGCTTGTGCGTGGATAATCAGCGAAAATTCATCGCTTTCTCTATTAGTTTTCAAGCCTTTATATATCCAATAAAACAATATATCCTTTGAGGGGTAATCTTGGGATTTTCATAAACATTGGCAGCTTGAGCAATCACGTGGGGGACAAGATCGTGCAATGCATTCGTCCTTTCATGATAGTGGAATGACACGTTGATTGTACCATGTATTATTTGTACCACGTTAACGTTATCTTCTTTCCTTCTACACTTCAGAGGCTTTTGCAAGCATGAGTTTAGAAGCGAGAACATAACACAAGGTCATCAGAACTTCAATTCTTCAGAGTCTTCAGAATTGCGTCTTCGGAGTCTTCAACACTTGGTCGTGAGAACCTTTTCTTAGAACCTTAGGTCTTCAGAACTTCAAGTCTTTAGAGTCTTTAGAACTTTTGTCTTCAGAGTCTTTAACACTTGGTCTTTAGAACCATTTTCTTAGAACCATGAGTCTTTAGAACTTCAAGTCTTCAGAGTCTTTAGAATTTCGTATATCATAATCTTCAGCACTTGGTCTTAAGAATCCTCTGTCTTCAGAAACATTAGTCTTCAACATCTGGAATTAAGTAGAAACTTTTGTCTTTAGATCTTCTGACTCGTTTCTTTATAACACGTTGTTTTCAGAAACACGAGTCTTTAGCATCTAGACTTAAGTAGAAACTTCTGTCTTCAGATCTTTTGACTGGTTTCTTTAGACTTAATATCAAAGCCTGCACTTCAGAGTCTTCTAGAGTGTATTGCTATTGTTCATCAGAACTTGTGTAGCGCAGAAGCAGAATTAATTCTTTGCTAATATCTTGGTCACGCCATCCATCAGAAGTAGAACCTATTTGTTAAATACTAAAAAATAACAAACATTAGAGTATCAAAATTGTTCATATAAACATACTCATTTGTTATCATCAAAACTCAGAGATAATATTGCAGAACCAAATCTTGTTCTAACAATCTCCCCCTTTTTGATGATGACAAAATTATATATTTTGATGACACAATTTTATTCATATAATCAGAGAAAGTGAAAATAAAAAGGTAAGGAATAATTATCCTTTTTATGAAACTCCCCCTGAGTCAATGACTTGATAAAGCTCGAATATCCTGACTCTGAACCATTTGAGTAAAAACTCCCCCTGGTTCCAATAGATCAGATATTAAGATCTTGAGAGTCTTGACTATAGATGCCAATGAAAATGAAATCAATTGAAATCTTGAAACTTTAATGTCACTAAGACAGCTTCCAGATTCTCAATTCTTGGGTTCTGATTCTAGATTTCAATTCTTGAAGTCTGATTCCAGATTTCAATTTTTGGAGCCAAGTCAGAAGTCAACAAGTTAGACATAAGCCTTGCATAATGCTTTTAGATCTTTGTCTTTAATCAGAGTTCTCATTTCCTGAAAAAGAAAACAATTCTAACAAACAAAACTCTAATTGTGTTATGATGTAAATAGCTCTTTTTAGAGAATATTTTCCAGAACTTGATTATTAAAATCAAAATTACATTCATTTAATTACTCCCCCTTTTTTTCATAATAAAAAAGGTAATTATGTGTGAAAAACATAAAAACCAGAAGAAGATTATAAGTAAGAAAAGAAGTGATAAGCCAAAAAGAAGAATTCATTAATTTCAAAAAGATTATAATAGAAGGAGAAACAACATAATGAAGACAAACAAGAAAAACTATCTAAACTTCAAACACATCACAACTCTCATCAAATAGAGCATTTCCTCGAACAATTTCATTTACACCAGCTAACTCAAACAGTTCAGACAATACACGTTCATAAGGAATGAATGATTTTTGGGAGTTTCTGAATGCAAAGATTGATATCTTTCGATGATTAAATATTATTACCGAAAGATTAATTGAAGTACTCTTGCGAAGGCAATAAAGAAGACACATATCCCTAGTGTGATACGGTGGGAGAACTGACTTGGGTATTTTGCGTTTTATCGCAAATATTGCGGATAGCAAGAGTCTTCACCGACTTTTCTTTTATCCAATAAAGGAAATGGTGAAAATAACAGGAAAGACCTTTTGAGAGTTTTTTGAGTTCGAGGGGTAGGTTATGAAAAGGGAAGGTGTTAGCACCCTTTTCATATGTAGTTATCTACGGGCTCTTAATTACTTGATCACTTAAAAATGCTTTGTGCTTGTGTGTGTTTGAAAATGTTTGAAGGTGTTTGAAAATGTTTGAAAAATGGTAATTTTGTAATGATTCTCGTATCGTTGAGAATGTATACAAAATGTTTTTTTGGAAATATTTTGAAAACACCTTGGTACGACAAACTTTGCAATGACTCTCGTATCGTTGAGAATGTATACAAAGTGTTTGTTTTGAAAACATTTGTTTGGAATGAGAGTGTTTGAAAATATTTTTATTTTTGAAAGTGTGAGGTGTGGAAATGGTTTTAGTTTGTGAGCAAACAATTACGAGCAACCTACCTACTCAAAAAGTTTTTGTTCTTTTCCTCCTCCTTTAGATAGTGCTACTTTACCATTGATTTATAGAGAGCCTTATCATTGGATGTGAGGGACATGAGTGGGTCATTGTACAATCATAGAAGGCAACTCGTAAGATGTCTTTAGAAATTTTTGGTAAGGGACTAAGATCGTTTACCGAAGGCAACATTGAAGGGTCATCGAGGGACTACGATCTTTTTATCGAGGGTCTTTGCTAAAACATCTCACATTCGAGGAGACGTGACTGTTTATATCCGAGGCAACAAGTGTGGGTTACCCTTAGAGGTGCATGTGTGCAAGGTGTTTTGATTTCAAGTATTTATCTTTGGATTAGGGTTTTGCTAAGTTTGATTTTAAGTCTTACCATACAAACCCTAATTACTAGCAATAATATGGAAAGCGATAAATTGCAGAAATTAAAGATCCTACGCTATTACAATATTTTTTGGGATGGGGGTTACAAATTTTCAAATGGGGATGACAAGTAAAGTAAACCCTAATTACTATTACAAAGCTTTGACAGTTACATAAATTGTAATGCGAAATAGTAAAAATGCGCAAGAAAATGTAAAGTGTAGAAGAAAGAGAAGAAATTGTTTTTGGTGAGTTTTTGATAGAGAATGTTTTAATCAACCTAATTAAACTAGTTAATTTACAAGGGAAGTTGATTAATTACTTAACAAAACCTAAAGTCTAATTATTTTTAATTCTAAAAAAAGGATATTAATTAGTTAAGAAAAATATTTTTGATGTTTTTTATAGAAAAATAGTTGAAGTAATGAATCATAAATCAAATATTTTACAACCTAATTGAATTTTAAAATAAATAATTAATTAAACATAAGCAATCTATTTAATAAAAATTAATTAGAAAAATTAGTTAATAATATAAAAATAATATTTTTTTAGTTTATTTATTTAGCTAAAAAGTATTTATGTATTTTTATATTTTTAATATAATAGAAGTCAAAATAATAATTAAAGAAATATCAAAGCAAATATAAATAAAGAAATTAGAGAAAAATTTAAATGGGCCTGAAAAACAACAATTGGGGGGGTGGGGGGGGGGGGGGGGGGGGGGGGGGTTGTTTAGGAGGAAACTCAAACCTAAACAATCTGTTGTTTTTTTTTTGTTAGAAAATGAAATAAAATAAAAGATAGTGGGTCACAAATTGAAGTAAAAGAGATGGTATGATTAGCAGCAGTGTCTAGGCCCAATAAGCAAATTCACAGATCCAATGGGAAACATTCTACAAAGTACATGGTGAGGGTGCAAGCTTGACCGTCTGATGAGGATGATGGTGTGCTAATGATGATCTAGCAAATCATGAGTGAAGGTGTATGATACCTTGTAATGGAACGCTGCGTGGGATTAAAGAGACCTGTGACAACAAGGGTGGTGACAAGTGTCACCACCAAATTAAATTTTAAAATTAAATAACAAAACTAAAAAGAAAATTAGAGTTTAATCAGAATACAAAATATATTTTTCCTTCCCTTTGTTCTCTCTGTCTTTCTCTCAAATGTTCTGATGAGTCTCCGTCGGAGACAACGCATTGGCCGTGCTGGAAATCGCCTTCACGGCGGCGGCGAAGCTCTTATCCAAGATTTTTTTACGCCGTTAGCTTCGTCTTGTTCTCCTATTTGCTAATCTCTGGCCTGATTTTGCAGATGGTACACGATTTTGAGTAGATCTTGAAAGGGAGAGAGTGAAACCCTAGCGCTCATATATGCGCTTTCAGGTGAGATTTTTCTGATTTATGTTATGAAATCTCTTCCTATTCTCTTTTCTGTTCGCGATTCTGTATTTATTCTTTCGCGAATTTCTGAAGGGGTTTGTTTTAAGAAAATGATGAGAGTTTATGGGTTAGACTATTTCTGTATATTTGTTCAATGTGTATTTGGCTTTTGCTGAAATTGTGAGCGATTTTTTAAAGGGGTTTTCAATTTAGGGTTTGTGGTTCTTTTCCACTGTTTCTGTAT